ACTAAGCACCTTGTATAGAGGAGTTCTCCCTAAATTTCGAATGTTGTTAGACACGGCGAGTAATGGAAACTTCTTGGGCCAAGATGTTGAGGATGGTATGTCTTTGGTAGAGAATCTAGCTCAAAGTGGTGGTAACTATGGTGAAGATTACGACCACACTTCAAGGGAATGTAATGAGATGAGTGATCTACACCGCAAAGAAATCAAAGCTTTGAATGACAAGATGGACAAGATGATTCTTGCTAATCAAAAACCGGTCCACTTCGTATCCGAGAGTGATGTCTACCAAGGCTATCAAGAAAACATGGAAGGTTGTGTTGAGGGACAAGAGGAAGTCAACTATGTTGGAGGACAAGGCTACAACAAGTTTAACCCCAACTATAGAAGCCATCCCAAACCTCTCTTATCGAAACACTAATGTGGAGAACCCACAAGATCAAAGCTATCCACCCTTAAAACCTCCCGGTTTTACCCAACCACCCAACTATCAACCTAAACCACAAGGGAACTTTCAACCAAAGCCTCAAGCCTACCACCAAAACCAACACCAAGGGAGTTCATCGAATCCTCTACCTCAAGCGGATGATACAAACGCTCTTTTTAGACAACTTCTAGATGGGCAAGGAAGAGGAGCAATCGAACTTTCTACACAAATGAAAGGCATGCACACCAAGGTTGATGACATGTATGGTGAGCTCAATGCCAAAATAGAGCGTTTGAATGCCCATGTTTATAGTCAATCATCATCCACTTCCACGCGTCCAATGGGAACTTTACTGAGTAAACCGGAAGCAAATACTAAAGAGTATATCAATGCCATAACGCTTAGAAGTGGTAAAGCATTGCCTAGTGGAGAGCTCAATAGGGAAATTGAGCCTAAATAAGGGGAGGTAGTGATTGAGATTGAAGAGGATGAAGTATTGAATGAGAAAGTTTGTGAACAAGAGGTTGTTGTTGATAAAAGAAAAGGTAAAGTGGTTGAAGAGTCTAAAGAAGACAAGATCCAAGAGGGAAGCACCAAAAAGGGCAAGAATTTTGCTAAGAAGGAGACTCTCTTTGTGCCTCCACCTTATAAACCAAAGTTACCATTCCTGGGCCGTTTTAAGAAGCTACAATTGGAGAAGTATAGAATAATGTTTGATGAGCAAATGAAAGAAGTTACTATCACAATGTCTATCATAGATGCATTCTTGTCAAACCCGACTTACAACAAGTTCCATAAAGATGTGGTGTTAGAGAAGAAGAAAACATTGCAAGGTATGGTTCTCTTGACTCATGAATGTACCGCTATAATCCAAAACAAGATAGTAGTGAAAAAGCTTGATGATCCGGGTAGCTTCACACTTCTATGCGCTCTTGGTCCTCTTTCTTTTGGACATTGCTTATGTGATCTTGGTGCTAGTGTGAGCTTGATGCCTCTTTCGATTGCCAAACGGTTAGGCTTGACAAGATACAAGGATTGTAGAATCTCACTTGTCCTTGCGGACCACTCTATTAGAACTCCGGTTGGTTTGCTTGAGGATCTTTCTGTGATGATTGGTCATTTTGAGATACCAACAGACTTTGTGGTCCTTGAGATGGATGAAGAACCGAAAGATCCACTTATTTTGGGACGCCCATTTTTGAGAACCGCGAGAGCAATGATTGATGTGCGAAGAGGAAGAATTAATTTGAACTTGGGTAAGAAGGTCTTGACCTTTGATATCAATAAGGTGATAAAGAAGCCTACCAATGAGGGTCAATTATTCTACATTGAAGAGATGGATGCTTTAGCGGATGAGCTTTTGGAAGAACTCGCCTTAGAAGACTCGCTCCAAAGCACTTTGATGGTTAAACAAGGAGAGTTTGGTTTGCTAGAAGGTGATAGTGAAGGCTAACGAAGAGGAAGCTAGCAATGGTAGGTCTAGCATTGATGGAGATTGGAGTGAACTCAAGGCTCCAAAAGTGGAACTCAAACCTCTACCAAAAGGGCTAAGGTACGCTTTCTTGGGAACAAGCTCTACTTATCCGGTAATAATAAATGAAGAGCTAAATGATTTAGAAACCACCACTCTTTTAGGTGAATTGATAAAGTATAGAAATCATGTGTGATGCAAGTGATTATGCGGTTGGAGCAGTTCTTGGTCAAAGAAAGGATAAGAAGGTTCATGTCATCTACTACGCAAGTAGGACTCTTGATAATGCACAAGTTAAGTATGCAACAATCGAGAAAGAGCTCTTTGTTATAGTGTTTGCATTTGAGAAGTTTAGATCATATTTGGTTGGGTCTAAAGTAATAGTATATACGGATCATGTGGCATTACAACATCTATTGGCAAAGAAGGATGCCAAGCCAAGGCTTTTGAGATGGATTTTGCTCCTTCAAGAATTTGACTTGGAGATTAAAGACAAGAAAGAAATTGAAAATGGTGTAGCGGATCATCTTTCTCGGTTGAGGATTAAAAATGATATACCAATAAATGACTCTCTTCCCGAGGAGCAATTATTGATATTTCGACTTTTGGATGCAAGTCATGACACCTACACGAAGCTAGAGGAAATCAAGGGGTTGAAAGAAGATGGTCCATGGTATGCGGATTATGTTAACTATTTGGCGTGTGGTAAAGAGCCCCCGAATTTGACAAGTTACGAGAAGAAGAAGTTCTTCAAGGATATAAATCACTTTTATTGGGATGAACCTTACCTCTACACTCTTTGTAAGGATAACGTCTATAGAAGATTTGTCTCGAAAGACGAAGTTGAAGGGATTCTAGTACATTGCCACGGTTCAAGCTATGGAGGTCACTTTGCTACTTTCAAGACGGTCTCCAAGGTTCTACAAGCGGGTTTATGGTGGCCCACGATATTCAAAGACGCGCAAGGATTTATCTCGAAGTGTGACTCATGCCAACAAAAGGATAATATTAGTAGGCGGAACGAGATGCCACAAAATCCAATCTTAGAAGTAGAAGTATTTGATGTATGGGGAATAGATTTCATGGGACCATTCCCCTCTTCTTATGGGAACAAGTATATTCTAGTTGTAATAGAATATGTATCAAAATGGGTGGAAGCCATCGCGAGTCCTACAAATGATGCAAGGGTTGTGCTAAAACTATTTAAGACCATCATTTTTCCAAGGTTTGGTGTTCCTAGAGTAGTCATAAGTGATGGAGGGAAGCATTTCATCAACAAAGTCTTTGAGAGTTTACTTAAAAAGCACGAAGTGAAACATAAAGTTGCTACGCCTTATCATCCGCAAACAAGTGGTCAAGTTAAGATTTCTAACCGGGAAATCAAAGCTATTCTAGAGAAGACGGTTGAGACTACAAGAAAAGATTGCTCGGCAAAGCTTGATGATGCGTTGTGGGCATATAGAACCGCTTTTAAGACTCCAATTGGCACTGCTTCCGTTCAACCTTCTCTATGGGAAATCGTGTCACTTGCCGGTTGAACTCGAGTATAAGGCTATATGGGCGGTAAAGCTTTTGAATTTCGATATCAAAACCGCTGAGGAGAAGCGGTTGATTCAATTGAATGACCTTGATGAGATCCGCCTTGAAGCTTATGAGAACTCGGAAATCTATAAGAAGCGGACTAAGGCGTTTCATGACAAGGGGATCATTCCAAGAGATTTCAAAGTAGGTGATCAAGTGTTGTTGTTCAATTCTCGTTTAAGACTATCCCTGGGAAAGCTCAAGTCTCGTTGGTCGGGTCCATTTAAGATCAAAGAAGTGAGACCCTATGGAGCTTTGGTGCTATGGAACAAGGTTGGAGGAGAGTTTGTGGTGAATGGTCAACGCTTGAAGCCTTACTTGGCAAATGATAGCATCGAGGAAAGAACCACAGTTTCTCTCTCGGAACCTCAAACCGCCTAAATGGCGTGGAAACGTCAAGCTTAGTGACTTTAAACAAGCGCACTTGGGAGGCAATCCCGTGGTATCCTTCTATATATCATCTTTATTTTCTAGTAATGTTTTAAGTAATTTGTTTTTGAATTTTGAGCAAAGGGAGATTCTTGAAGTTTGAGGAATTTTGGTGACGAGCCTTGGAGATACCCCATATAGCAAGATTTTATAGCAAGGTCTACACATCGGTATGGTTATCTTCAATAAATGAAAATTTGTCCACCTTTTCTAGAAAGATCGCATATAGAAATCTCAAACCAAAAACGTTTTCTTTTCTTCTCTCTTTCACTCCCACTCTTCTTTGACGATTCAAACCAAAAACACCTTTTTCTTTCCCGATTCTTAGTCTTTTTTGAAACTTTTTGGAGCTTTGAAATTGTTTTTGCAAGATCTTTCATTTAATTCCTACTCTAGTCCTTAATTCCGAGTCTTACTCAAACGAAACCCAAGAGAAGACCTAAAGGCAAAAACCAAGCAAAGATCCGGTGAAAAGGCACAAGAGCAAGTTGCAAAAGCCCAAACTCAAAAGAAGAAAGAAGGGAAGAGACCGGTTCATGAAAAAGTGGTAGGAAGATCGGTAGTGAATGTGGAAGTGGTAGTCCTAAAGTTGGTAAAAAGAAAGCACCACCACCGACATTTACTTATAACAACTACTTCAAGTTGTTGAAGGCCGTTGAATTCTTGCCAACTAAGTATGCGGATCGTATGCTCCTCTCCGAACTTGGAATTCATGAAGCCGTCAACCAAATCTTCAAGAATATCGGGTTAGGAAACTTTTTCCTTATGGAATTCCCGCCTACAAGATCCCCATTGCCAATTCCTTGCTTCCCTTACGGTGCACTTAGACTCGATAAACCCCACTAGTGAGACTCTTGGCTATATCGAGTTAAGAGTTGGTGAAAAACCCTTTTAAGTCAAGTTTCACGATCTTGACTCCATCTTTGGCTTTCCGGGAGGGACTACCATCAACCTTCCCCTTAATTTCCTTGAGAAAAAATATGTGTGGGAAACCATTTCCATTGGTGCCTATAAGAAAGGGGCGGTAAAAGGAAGCGACATTCGAAATCCGGCTATACGATATGCTCACAAGATACTTGCTCACACGTTATATGCAAGAAAGGAAACGACAATTGTTAAAATGGATGAGATGTCTCTCCTAATCGGTGGGATCAAACCAATGCTACAAACGTGTAGAAATGGTGTGGAGATACATGGTAGATATGAAGCAATTAGCAACGCCTACGTCTTGGCTAAGCAATTACTTTATTACAAGAGGTGGGTGACGACAACTAACCCTTCATCGGCTCAACTAAGCATTGGCGGAATTATAAACCCTATCTTGATATTTTGTGGAGTCAAATTGGGTGCAAGTAAGGAGGAACTAACTCAAATTGACGCTCCCTATCTTTCCAAGATAGACTACCTCATGGACCGTTTGGGCCATCATATGTCACTTAACGTGCAAAAGAATGTCGTTCTTCCAAATCGCGACATCACTACACTCATGAAAAGGGACAATGTGATCTTTCTTCCTAATGATGATGTCCTTTACAACGCCAAAAGTCATCCACTTCTTGACCCTATTTGTGGGTTGAAAACGAATAAGCAAGTTGATGTGGGTTATTCGAGAGATGCTCTACCCGCTCCAAGGGTCATTGGATGTGAACGATACAACTTCCAACTATATGATGGACCCATCCAAAACAAAGCTCTACGCCATGCTCAGAATAGCATTAACCTTCTTCAACGATTCGTCAAATGGCAACGGCGATCGATGAGGAAGCTATTAAGGAAAGTGAAGAGCTTAGAAGGAGAAGTAAAGAGTCTCAAGGGAAAGCCCAATGGTGGTGAACCTTCACACCATCAAGAGGAAATGGTGGTGGAAACGAAAGACAATAAAAGGACTAACAATGTGATGGATATGGATGGTAGGCACTCTTATCATGAGCCATCGAGTTTGTTCATGGAACACCAAGAACCACCGCATCCATCTTTCTATGAACAAAGGCCAAGAAGAAAACGTCGAGCGATTCGTTCCCCGATTCCAAGTTCAAGTAATCCACCATTTTTATTTAATTCAATGGAATCCATTGACTCTACTCATCATAACTAAGGTACCATCCAAAATCTTGTAAATAGTTTCTTAATTTGCATTTTATGTTAGTCTTTCTTGTTAGTCTTTTTCTCGGATTTATTCTCACACCGAGAAAGTGTGAAATAAGTTTGGGAGAGAGACTAACCATCTAATGTTGTGTTTTGTTTTGATTTTATTTCTTTGAGTCTTGCATTGTTAATAGTTATGTTTTGAGAAAAATAAAAAAAATTCGAAAATGATGAAAAATCCAAAAGAAAAATCATGTAGCTTTGCATATTCATTTTCTCTTTTAGGATTGAGTCTAGTAGCATCTAGTTTGCATTTGCATATGCATAGGGGATAATGATTTAATTACCTTGTAGAAATTCAAGCGTAGGATTGAATTTATAGCCCTTAATCATAGTTTATCGTTGCTTGATCATCTTGGAAAAAATGGAAGCTCCATGCTTAGACCTTTGTGTTTTTCGAATGCAATTTCTACTTGTGTGAAGCTTGCATGATCTTTGAAACATCTCTATGTATTTGAAATTAATTTGATTTTAATCCTCTCGCTTATGAATTTTAAGTGCATTCTCATGGTTGTCTAAAAGACTCATTCGGGTTTTCTTATCCACTTCGCCACTCTTTTGTAAACCCGAATGGCCATTCTCACCATTAGAATGGTTTTCCCTACCCTTAACCTCAAACATTTTCTTTCAAGCCTATAAGTTATTTGTGAGTGAGGCCTTTTGTTTGAAAATGCTCTAGGTTATGAAATCTTGAGAGTATTGAGAACGACAAGGTTTTAGCTTTTGTTTTAGCTAGCTTTGAAATCATCGTTGAGACTAGCTACTAGGTTGGGAATGAAAGAATTAAGTGTTTAGATTGAATATTTGGGATTGGGTTTAGAAAAAAGAAGAAAGAAAGAATGAAAGAAAAGTTTGATAAACGATTTTAAAATGAGTTCCTAGGGGTATAATCTTAAGAGAAGAAAGCTCTAAATCTCTAAGTATAAAAGAAAGTTGAATATCAAGTTAGTTCCCCAAAAGAAAAGAAGCTTGCAAAGTTAGACGTTTTGGGAACAAAGAAAATCTTAGAAGAGAGATAGAAAAGAGCTAAGTGCTAAAAGAATAAGTCTTCCCTAGGTGATTAGCAAAAAGAGATTGATAATGAGAGTGGTTCAAAAAGACCAAAGTGTCTAATGTTTGTGGTTGAAAAGAAGAAGAAAATAATATGTCAAAAGGGTAGAAATAGGAGTTTACTTCTAAGGCGGGTAGAACAACAAGAGCTAAACTTTGTATGCATAAATTGTTCTTGGTCTTAGATGGATTTCATGATTCTCTAGCATTCCTTTTCTTGAGATAAACCCACCAAAAGTGTGAATCTTTTGAAGACACCTCAAAAATCTTTTACCAAAACTGATTGAGAATGATTTATCTACCATTTGCGAGACCGCGCCAAACACTTGATGAATGTTAAAGAGATGTTTCAACTTGATTGTGAGTCTTTACTAATAGTTGGAGATTAAAATAGAATCATGCATTAAAATGAGTATGGAAACGTACGAAAGAGTATGATGATTGACTCAAGCAAATTTGAACTATCTTTAAGGACTTTGAGTTGAATCCTTTGTTTGATATTTTGTGGCTATGATTCCCCACCTTCAAACTTCTTTCTCACGTTATCTCTTCGTTCTTGCTTGAGGACTAGCAAGAGACAAGTTTGGGGGAGTTGATATCTTATGATTTTAATGGTTTTTGAGCCTTACTTTACCTCGAAGTCTTTGCATTTTCATGTCATTTAGGTTGTTTAGATTGCATTTACATCAAGTTCTTTGTCTTTAGGTGTTTGGAGTAGGGACATAAGAATGGAGCTAAAAGAGGAGTTTTGGACCATAAGAACCCAAGAGAGAAGAGGAAGAAAAGACCAAAGGAAGAAAGAAGAGCCATAACGGCCAACTGTGCAAGTACGGTTGGAATTACCGGCATATAGCTGAAAAACATTAAATAATCTAAAATTACTAAAAGCCAAATGTATTGCACTGAGTTGGGCAAATAATTACCATAATGGCTCTATAGTTTTCCCATCTTCCTTCAAGTACTGTAGGTGGACATCATCATCATTCGGAAACAAAACTCTTGCCATGACCGATAGCTCAGTGAAAATATATTTTGGGTTGGAAGCATCTTTACCACCCTATAGAACAATTACAACCATGATGAGTACGAACATAGTTGAAAATATATTCTGGAATCTTTCACACCACATCCTACGAATATACAAACTCAACAAAGCAAGCCACAATCCAATCCCAATAAGAAAGTTAAAGTGTCATAACCTCACGCTTACGAGTTAAGCATCATAAACGAGAACAAATGATTAATCTATACATGTAGCAGGGTATCTTGCTTGCTACAGATTCCCCTAAAGATGGAGACGTTTTCAGAATTTATATCAGGCAACCATATGGACGACTGCTCCTTGCTACGGATTCTCCTAAAGATAAAATCATTTTCAAAATATATATCAGAAAACCATATGGACGTCTACTCTTTGCTACAATTCATTCAAGCAGTCAAAACCCGGTTTGTTCTGGGTTGACCCTCTTCATTTATGTTTCCCTAAAATTATTCTTAACCTAGTCTTAGATTGTCTTATGCTTTGTTTAGAGATCAAAAACTTCTCTTAAGGTTTCTTTCTAAGTTTTTTATGAATCTTTGGTTTGTTGAGTTTTAAATCCAAATTTCTCTTTTAATCTCTTATCTACCTTCTCTAATTATGATTTCACAAAGATCAAACATATTGCTTTGTGTAATCATGATCATGAGTGAGTAGTCATTTAGAGTTCTTGGGTTAAGGTATATTAGGATGGTTTAGTTGTTGGGTTATGGAGTTTAGGGCTAGATTACTTAAGATCCTTACTTATTGGTTGTTTATAAAGCTAGATTAGCCTTGATCATGTTGATTTAGACTTTAGGAATTTCATACCCGGAGGGTGTTCGATAAAATTCCCGAACTAAAACTTTTAAGTGCTTTACATTCCTTACCTTTGGAAATTGTTGACTAGGGTGTTAAGTGGCTAGATAGACATGTTTATAATGCTTGTTAGTAAATTGATTGCCTTTGGAAGAAGTTGATGATTAATTGATTAGTAAATGGACTAATGTCAAGGAAATGTGTTAGTGTTGCTTAGTGTTCTATGGCCTAGGGATCATTGCTTATTAGAAGTTGTTTGAAGCTCCATAATCCACTTCTTTATCATTCCTAATCAATTCCCTTTAACCCGAGAATTCGCTTTTAGTTATCGCTTAGTAGCTTGTTATTTTTCCGCTTTGTTTACTTTCGAAACTTGTTAGTCTTTTGCATTTTACTTTAATTTATCTTATTTTGCATTGTTTGATTGTTATTTACTTTGTTAGTCAAGTTTACAAAATCCAATAATCTTATTAGCCTAGATTAAGCTTTTGAGTGTATTCCTAGTGAGTTGTTGATCAATTGTAAATTGTGGTTCGATATTTAATTGAGTAAAGTACTACATTAGTTCTATTTTCTAAAAAAACTACCCCACTTTTCATTTCTGGTCTAAAACCAAAATTCCCTCCTGTTGGTCAAGCACGGAACGCACTTTTATACATTTTCTCATTACGTGAAGAGACATGATATGTTCATATGCATGAGCAATTTCTATTGAAGTTATACTTGATTTTGGGTTACGCTTGATTATGGGTTTGCAATTCAATATTATATATTGAACAAAACCCAAAGTTAAGTCTAAGTTCTAGATTTCTCTAAAGCATCTTATAAAAATCACCACCTCCTTAAATGTTCTAGAGAATTCTATTAGATAGATATTTAGATAATTATGTAGAATAATATAAAAGTTTGTAAGATAAAATCTAGATATTTTAGTAAAGTTATACAGATGATGGTAGAATAATTTATAAACTTTGTAAGCTAAGTTTGGAGGCTATAAATACCTCTTCACCCCCTCATTTGTAATAAGTTGAATAAGTGAATAAAAAGAAAGTTCAAATAAAAGAACACTCTTTAGAAGTTCTCTAAGTTTCTCCAAAAGTCTTTCAAGTAATCTCTAATTGTTCTTCCAAATTTTCTATCATAGTTAGAGAGTTTCTCATCTTGGTTATATTGGGTTTCTCGGGTATTATGATCTTGGGCTAGTGCTAAGCACTATCGAGTTGGTTTCTCTACATGGTATCAGAGCCACTCTACTCTTGTGCTCTTCAAGATCGGGATTATAGGAGAATTCGGATTTACTCTAATTATGGAATTTATGGGTCATGTTGTTGGATTGGGAATGGAGATCTTAAACCAATCTAACTACTGGTTATGGAAGTCATGTATGGAGTCATAATTGGTTAATTAGTGAGAACTTATGGGATGTCATCGGCGGAAGTAATACTTCACCACCTACCGGAGATGCTGCAACCGCGAAATGACAAAGGAGTGGACACGTAAAAATGCCAAGGCGGAGTTTGCTTTAAAGAAGTCAATATCCTCATGAGTATCTGAGCATGTTTCACGATGCACATCCGCTAGTTCAATTTGGCAAGCATTAGATCGATTGTTCAACAAGAAGAACGAAGCTCGTCTACAATTGTTAGAAAACGAGTTGGCGAATGCGAAGTAAGGGGATCGGAGTATTCAATCTCGGAGTTTTTCATCAAGCTAAAGAACCTTTGTTCTGAGATCAATAGTCTTAAACCGGACGAATCAATCTTGAATGCTCGGTTGAAGCGGTTTATTATTCAAGGTCTACGACCCGAATATACACCATTTGTGACTTTGGTTCAAGGATGGGCTACACAACCTTTCTTGGACGAGTTTAAAAATTTGCTTGCTTCGCAATAATCAGTAGCGGTACAAATGGCGGGAGTCAAAATTCATGATGACTTGGGGAGCGCTATTGTAGCTAGGAAACAACACAACTTCAAAGCCAAATCCAATGATGGTGTTCCACGAAACAAAGATGGACATGAAGGATCTTCTAAGGGAGATAAGAAAAAATTCAAGTGCTATCGGTGTGGAAAACTTGGGCATTTAAAAAAGGATTGCC